ACATTAAGGAAATCATAACTACATAAAGCAAAGCGCAACTACATTAAGGAAATCATAACTACATAAAGCAAAGCGCAACTTTATGTAGTTTTGTTTTTCTTAATGTAGTTGCGCTTTGCTTTATGTAGTTTTGTTTCCCCAGAAAATACGACTGTCTTTAATCAGTGGTTTTTTTTAAGTAGAGTTTTTCAATGTTGACTTATGTAGTTGAAGTCAAGAACAGGACATTTTTTTCTGTTCAGAAGCACCTTGGTCAGATTTTTGTTATCAACAAAATTTGATTATGGTTACCTAAAAATAAACTTTATTTCCTTTGGTAATACCACCTTTGCTCTGTCTTTGCCTGGGTTGCTCTAACTTTGCAGTCAGTCTGCACTTAAAGCGCTCTGCAGGGGAGGGAAGTATACAGCTCTACAACATTGAAGGTGACACAGTAATTATGCAGCACAGCACATCGATTAATGATATTTGTTTCCAACAATTGATTTGTTCAGATTTTAGCAATTTTTTGTTGCAGAAGTAAGATGCACATTTATCAGCGTGTAGCATCTTATCACCAAAGCAAATTCCTCATCTGTTTAAAACACAACTTCACAATAATTGAATAATAAAGCGTTTCCACATATTCTACCTTTGTTTTACACTCCCCTGAACTGTTTACTACCTAAAAATTCTATATTATTCTCATTTGACTGAAGCCCACTGAGATACTTAAAGCCCCGTCAGTATATAGCAAATACTGCATATTTATGTTTGTGATGGTAGGACAGTTGCTTTTTTTCTGGCACAGATTCTACATAATCCGTTTAGTATGCAGTTTGGGTTAAACAGTTTAAGTTGGACTTCTTTAACATCCAATTCTTTGTTTCTTTCCATATAATTATACAGCAACATGTACTAATAAGCTTTGAAACAACTCATATGAAGTTTTATGCTGTATAATTAGCAGTTACAATAACTAAAAAGTTATGCTAGTTTTACTTAAAAGAACTTCCAATGTTTTCAAAGAGGCGCTTTTCAGACAGACGTTTTTCGTCCCTCATTCTGACATTAGTTAGGTTTTTCAATAACTGTCGATTTGCTCTTTTATTCCAGGAATTCATTACGGATGCCAGCCCAAGTCGCATGAATGTTCTGATTCCCAAACTACAAGAGGTCAATCGCTGCCTTAATGACCTGATCTCCTGCACTGGAATGGTAGGGGTTCAAATATATTTTACTTTTGTTTTAGGATAAAATCAAATCTAGTCATCTTTTTTTGCTCTGCTCTTCATTTTAATGTAGGTTACAATATTTATTCCTTTGCTAATATTGGAAAAAACTGCAGCGGTCCAGTTTCTTCACTAAAGGTCCAATAATATCAGATTATACAAGCTGGTTGTATATATTGTAATTACACATAATAGAAACTAGTATCTTCTTAAGGACTATATAATGTGGATTTAGAGATATTTTAACAGTTTTATTCTTGGTTTAGTTTAGATCCAAAACCAACCTCTGCTGTCTGTGAAAAAGGCTTTGGGGAATTTAGGTCGTCTCAGCTCATGATTGTTTTCATGTGGTTTGAAATTGGCTGAATGCTTTTTTTCCCACAGAAATATCACGTGAAATACGGCCTTCTGTGTATTGGTCACAAATCCAAGCAAGCCATCTTGATATATAGAAATCTGTTCAGTTACTGAGACTCATTTAAATATTAGCTACTAAACATTCACACTTAAGTATAATTTCCCTTCATACCCTCTGAAATATTTTAAGAAATAGACAAAACGTATTGATTAAGTAAGATACTTCTTAAAGCAGTGTTTTGAAAGATATCTTGTATAATTGGAGTAGTCTTAGTCTTTATTTATTATATTCAGGTTTATTACTTACAAACTTGAGTAATGCTGAAAATTGTATAAAAAGCAAAACACATCAAATACTTTAGCCAAAGGCACTGGTGATAGTCCACAGAGAGAGAGGTTATTAACAAAATGGCAAACTAACTGCATCAATGCATAACGTTTAAGGAGAAGAAAAAGCCCAATGTAACTAAATTAGTTTATTATTGTATCAGGATTTATAAAAATTCAATGACTAAAATATCCTCTTTGTAATGATTCAACTCAGCAGTAGTTGATGAAAGCAGCTGAAAGTTTTTTTTCTACACATAGTCATCATTTTACTTGTGATGCATTTACTACTCTACGGTGATGAAGCTATGTGGTTGTTAACCTACATATGTAGTTTAAGATGCAAATCAGACTTTTTTATTTCCATCTAGTTAGATTTCCAATTCATCATTCAGGACACGTAAAGCTGGCTTAGACAGAGAAGAAATAATGTTGGTAATAATGCAATCATGTGTGCTTAGGTAAAGAATAGGTAAGCTGATTGTGAGTAATTTATGTTTTATGCAAAAATATGTTGAGATTTGTCTTTCCTCTGCTTCCTGTTTGTTTCCTAGCCACCATTTCCCAACGGCGGTGCTCAGACAGCAGTGCTCTCAGCTGGCTCTCAGCCACCGGCCCCAGCTCCTCCACAAGCCATTCAGAGACTAAAGGACCAGAACAGGCTTCTAACCCAGGTTCAACCCAACCTGCTTCAGCTGTTATCTAGCAAATCTCCCACCTAAATCCTCTCCCCACTGACTGTCTCTTCCCTCTGCTCTTCCAGGAGGTGACGGAGAAGAGTGAGCGGATTGCTCAGCTTGAACAGGAAAAGTCGGCTCTGATAAAGCAGCTTTTTGAGGCGCGAGCTCGCAGTGCGCAGGACACCAGCACCATGGATTCCACCTTTATCTGATTAGCTTCATCGTGTGATTCAGTCAGAACATCTGAAGGAGAGCTGAGAGATTTTAGTTTACCTGATTGAACATTAATGGCAGTAATGCACCTTTTTAGGGACACAAAACATCCCCCACTACAACATGAGACCAATCCACTACAAATCAAAGCAAACGCTACCTGAATGTAAGCACTCCTGACCTGGGGATTAGATGGTTAACGTTTATTACACTACAGAAAAAACAAAACAAAAACAGAGCACTCTTCAAACCAGACATGTCTCATGATCTCAGTCACTCCAGTTATCCAAAGAACAGCATCTGGAAGATCAGCACTCCCTCTCCTTAAAGACCTATTTATGTTTCTGCTGCTCAGCTTCACAAGGAACAAAACATGAACCTAACTGTGAGCAAAGCTCAAATAAAATGGTACAGAAGACTGTATGATATTTTAGGAATAAAACGCCATATTCCAGTGGATGATATAAGCTGCAACCCGTTGCTGTGACCTTAGTTATACCTTTTTAGTTTCATATAAAAAAAAAATCAATATAGGAGAGAAATTTTTACTTTTGGTATTTTCTTCCTTTTGATGTCAAATTATATTTCTATATGATTTTTTGCAGTGTATTTTCCCCCCTAAAACATGTATTTTATAACAGTGTGTTCAAAGTTACATGAATCTTCTTCAACACATGGGATGTTATTTTAAAGAAAGCCATGGCAGTACATTTCAACATTTGTAGCATCTCCCCCCAAATGTATTTATAACCCAAAATGTTCCAGAATTACGCCTGGATGGATCAAAGATGCAGCAGGATTCAGAGTCTCATCTTTTTCTTAAATGATTGAGGTTATGGATGTCAGGATGACATCAATAACTCCTAATTTAACCAGTAACGTAAACGGGGAGCATATAAATGCCAAAAGTAACCACAAGAACATTTCTGTACCCTCTACAGGATTCATTCATTTAAAACCAACACAACCTATAAAACCTAAAAGTGATCAGCAGCCAAAAACAAGTATCAAGTTTCACTTTGAGCCTGAACCAAACAAAATGGACTAACTGCTTCACATTTAACACACCAGACGACAATGAGTGAAGGTTAGCCTTCCACATCCAATTATATAAAACATGATTTAAATTATGAGCTTGACACAACCAGCATTTATTACTAAGAATTTAGGAGCTTTCTGGTTTTCCAAAATAAACAAAATATCATCAACCTTTTGAAACCTTTTACTCAATCTCATGAGAAACGATGCTGTTTCGTTGACGCTCAGATAACAAATAGCAATGTATGAAGGACTTTAACCCCTTAGTTTTGCATAAACCAGGCTTTTAGTAATAATGCAAATGTAATACTCCACTCCCTGATCAGTTTGTTTAAAATATAAATGTGTTATAGTTCACATCCAAGGTGTCGTTTACCACAAGCACAAGGGAATTGTCTTGAAATGTTCTCTGATGCCTCATAACCTCCCTGTATCGCCACCTTGTTGAGGGGCAGCTATAAGCTGCTACATATTTTTTTGTTTGTTTGTTTTTTTAGAATAGGATAACATTGGTTGCTTAAGTAATAAACTTTACTTGCAGTTGTGAACGTGTGGAAATAACTCAAGGAAATCTTATAAACCCTTGAGATGTTTAAGGGCAGAAGAGTTGGAGAAATGTGGAAGAAAGCTGTGAGGAGGAGTCACATAGATGGTACATGTGTTGCAAAACAATTCTGATGTAAAAAAATGTTTTTCTTTTTAAATACAGCCATTTTAGCAATTACTAAAATTAGTCTGTATAATATTACAGATATTTCTTTTGCTTGGATCTTGTTAAAAAAAGTGAAATATTTCCCACAGAGAGATTTTAGTTTGAAATGTGGGAATAAAAGGTTAGCATTGAAATAAAAAAAAACTCTGATATCTGTATGAGTTCCCTTTTCTCAGAATCTATCCGGAAATTGATGCTCATAGATGTTATGAAAACAAAGCCATCCACAAGTTAACGGGAGGATTCAGTTGGTGGCTGGCAGTAAAGTTTTTAATGGTACTGCTGGGATAAGGACGTTTCCCACTTGTTTAGGGTTTTTGCTGCTCACCCTACGATATGCGTGAACTCTCTTTTCCTACCACTGAGGGTACCAAACCCCAGAGGAGGTGATAGAATAAATAATAAAAGTTTATACTTAAAGCAGCTGTGTCTGTGTGTTTATGTGTAAAACATTTTTGTTTTATTTTCTACAAGAATCTCCCCTTTCAAAACAAAATAAAGGTATGCAAGAAAATCACAAAGGACTTATTTAGTGTTTTGTCTGGTTGAATATTAAAGGAATAAGATTAACTATCCCAAAATATGTTTCTATATTGTCCTAGTTGTTTCTCAGGTGGTGATAAACTGCACAAAAGGTTGCATAACTTCTATTGCTTCTGACAGATTTAGGTAAAAAGTATTTTTTCCCATGCATTTGTTTTATCTTTCAGATAATTAAACTTTAATTGGCATTTCTCTGTAGCTTCGTACAAGGAATTTACTTTATGTTTAAAAAGTTGAAATCTCACATCAACTATACAGATTTGTCAAACAATTTTGCCAAAACAATGTTTTATATCCTAAATAGGATATAAGAAAAACCCACTTTAGTTAGATACTATTGCAGTAACTGGAGTGTGTTTTCACACTTCTGCAGAATTTACCAAACCAGTGGAAATTTTCTGCCCTGTGGGAGGCCGAGGGGATCATGTGTTTAACGTAACACCATCGCAAACAAGTTGAGGCAAAGGGCACACAGAGGTAAACAAATCACAGTCAGACTCAAGCAATAAAACAGTTCAAACAACCTTAATATTTAAACACTGCAAATACAGAACAAGTGGCAGGAGAGAAAAATAGATACTGACAGAAGAAAGAGTTAAAAGTTAATTAACTTTACGGAGTCGCTGCTTCACACAGCTGGCTCAGATTTAGGGCAATTAGGAGTAAAAAGGTTAGAGGTCACACCAGCTGATGGGAAGTTACAGCCAAGCAATACGTTATAGTGAAGTGTCAACCTGATGAATTTCTAGCTCAGGCTTTTTTAACGGACCACCCTGTGGTCGCCCCCAATCCTTCTCTCTACTTTAACCAGCTTTGCTGTGAGAACTAAAAACAAGTGCTTCATGGCAGTATAATGTTGCCACCACCATGCTTCGCTGTGGGTGTGGTGTGTTTAGGAAGTTGTGCAGTTTTAGTTATTGTGTATGTAGCTGAGAAAGGTAAGTAAGGTAATAGAGTTTAATAACTCATGTATTTTGGCTTCTCTTATTCATAATCCCGTTGCCATTTAGATCGCATAGAGAGCCACATTTTGGTAGGTTAATCTTCAAAGCTTGACTCATAACTTAAATCCTAACCTCTTTAATCCTTATTTATACTAATAAACAGTCTGTGTTTCTTGGCTTTCATGTCTTTTGTAGCTGCCTCTGTCATGATCTTTGCGCTGATGACTGGCTTAATTATTAATTTCATTCACCTGTCCAATTCCGCCCCAGTTTCTCTCTACCACTCATCATATCCACCTGTTCCAGCTTTTATTTAAACTGCTTATTCTTGAGCCTTTGGTGTGAGAATTATTCTAGCTTTATTTGCTGTATTCTGATTGCCTGTCTTCAGACCTTCAAGCCTGCCTGTCCTGGTTCTGATCTTTGCCTGACCTGTCTTCGGATTCTTGCTGGATTCTACTGGTGGACTGTACCAGGATCTGTCCTACTGACTTTGCCCTCTGGATTATCCTGCCTTCCTCTGTCATCTGCTTGGATCTGATCTCCTGTCAGTTCTGTGTCCTTCAAGGCTTTGGCATCTGGAACTCTCCGTGCAGCAACCACTGCTTCTTGTCAGCTGACTGGCTGGTCTCAACCTCGTTCTCTGAGCACAGACTGTTCTTTAACCCAGGTCCTTCATCAGGTTTCGTGGTCACTGATCTGTGTTTCCTCTCTCCACAGTTTCCGACGCCCTAGCCACTGCTACTTAGTGTTTTAATTAATCTATTTATCTTACTGTCTGTCTTGCCTGAATACTGGGTCCCTCTGTTCTGAGTCTGGTTTCAATTGCTGAGTCTAAATGACAGATTATATGATTTCTCAACCCATGGTTGTAAAGATTTTAATTAGTAAAATTAATAAGAAAAAAAAACCCTATTAGTTCCTTTCACATCATAATCATACTTTCTGTTGGTCTAACCTTTAAGATCCTGAATCAATTTGACTGTACGATCTGGTTGAATTGTATTGCTGTATAAATAAACTGAATTTAATTGATTGAAGATCCTGACAGAATACGCTGAGGTTGGAGATCATAATGTACCAAAAAAAAAAAAAAGAAACAGAAAAAAAACCCATATCAAATGTGTGGATACTTTTGCAAGATGCTGTAACATATTACACCATCTTACGGTAACTTTAATCAGATATGATTTCCAGGCTTGTTGCATCAGTTGTTTACCGCCGATTTTCCGTCGACCTCCATCAGTTTGTTGCATCAGTGTCAATCGGTGTGAAAATGGACCACGTGTCTTTAGAATGCTAACGGCGGCCTTTTTAACTTTAGCTGTAAGAAATTTCCCCCTAAACATATTCTGAATAATTTTATATGATTTATTTTATGTTTCTTCTAAATTGTTGAATGTGGAGGGGCCAAACAAAGACAATCATGGCATCCTTAGGGAAGGTCCTCAGCTTACACACCCCCATCCCCACACCCTGATTGGATGATCTTAAACATCCCTGAAGTGTTTGCTCACACTCCAAAAGATGTAATCTGTTCATTTTGACGTGAGGGCTCAGTGTTTGCTCATGCAGGAGCAAAGAGGACAGAGTGAAGAGTGGATGGATATGTCACCTCTGGATTAACAAGTGAGTCCTCTCAGCTTTAACCCGTAACTCATGACCTTTAATCTTGATCAGACGTCAGTGAGTTTTGGATTAATATCTGTGTCCTGTGTGATAGTTTAGCTTTGCCATGAAAAGGTTACCTGTCTAGTATTTTTAGGTTCCTCATTTACATGTCGCCCATAGAAACAGAGATAGTGTTTTGAGGCACGTATTTGCTTGTTTGCAACAGTTTTCTGTTTCTGCTGGCCGCCTGAGCTGTAATCAAACTGATCTCTATGAAAGAGATTAGTTGACACTGGGGTCACATTGAAAGAGGTACGAGGCTTTGTTTTAAAATTAGAGGCTATAGCTAAAAATGTTAGTTATTTGTAACATATATTGTTTAATCTCCAACTTTGTATTTAAATGTTAGAACAAATATTTTCTATTCTAAAAAACATTGCATAAGTATATTTTTAAGCTAAATAAAGTATTATTTTAACCATTGATGTTTAAGGGAAGTGTTAGTTTCAAAAATATAAATAGGTTTCACAAGTCATTCTAACACCTACAAGTCCTAAAATATACTTCCAGCACATAAAGAGGAAAGGTGCAAGCTTATAGTTCAGTGCGTTTTCATTTAAACCTTCTATTTTCTAGTGTTTATTTTTAATCTTGTCACACTCTTTCACAGGACTAGAACAAAAATACTTTAATAAGTGTTTAGGATGAAGGCAAGAAAAAAAAACAGATTTAATTTAATTAGCAACCATCTACAAAATATTGTTTGATATTCTATAAAACATTAAGGTAGAAGGAGAAAATATATTTCTTACTTATTAAAAGAGACAACAAGGCTATAATGGATCAATTTCATTACAACATTTTATGTGCTCTGCGTGACTAGCATATAAAAGTCACATGGAAAAAAACTCATATCAGATATATTGTAAAAGTAAGGGCACACAGCTTTAAAGATAATAACTCTAAATTAATTCTGCATGACAACCTTTGCATTATTACTAAAGCAGCAAACAGACCTGAATGGTATTAAAACTAAAAGAAAGATTCAATTTATAAAGACTGAAAAAATACATTAATGTACAATTTGCTTTTCATTAACTGTAACAGGTACAGTACACCGATAGTTTCTATTTGTTTTTGGATTTTGCAAAAGGTTCTCTATGTTTCCACCACATTTACTTACCGTACCAGTAGGCTTTATGAGGACTCTGGGAATAGCTTCCAATTCCAAAGAACTGCAAATGCAAGCAAGCCCAACAGATGACAGCAATATTTGAATACAAGCAAATTAAAGCTTTGAGCCCCCATGTTGGCACAGAGGAACACATTCAAAACAAACTGCTCCAATTTTGTTTTGTGGTCTATTAATAACCTGTTCCTCCTGTTGCAATAAAAATGACCATTAAGTGAAAAAAACAATAAAAGAGATTGACAGGCTGAGACAATCTTAGAAGGATTTAAGGAAATTCATAAATGAGGAACCAGTTGGAATGTGGGCCTGTAGGTGAGGTTAACCGTGAAGCACCTCGGTTAGATAACCTGGTTCTGAACAACACCGGGATTTATTTTATTTTGTCTGAAAAAAATCTGAAATACTTAAAATATTGGTTTGTTATGTTTCTATCTGTTAAATTTTAGTTTTTCCTCTCCACTGTCACTTTAAGCATGCTTGGTGTGAGGGATTGCCTTCAAATCAATGAGTCGATGTAATCAGCTGGTTTTCCTTACATAAAAAACATTGAATCAATTTGACTGTATGATCTGGTTGAATTATAAAGTGCCTTGAAATGATGTGTTGTGAATTGGCGCGATATAAATAAACTGAATTAATTGAAAATCACAGGTGAATTAAATTACTGTGGTGAGCTATTTAAATCAAACTAAGGTTTTTGATATTCTTAGTCATTAGATTTTATTCCAAAGTTATGAAAATGCTTTGTGTTAGCTAATGCATCGAGATGCATAGAAATCACACATTTGAACCAAATTTGCATTGATAGAAACCCTTTATATAGTGGTTCTTCCGCTGGCCTTTTGTTTATTACTAAATTCATGAATTTCCTGAAGTTATTTCACCTCATCATTAGTTTCACACGGGTTATATTATTTTACATGTACTCTAAATAAGCATCAGCATACAGCTGTTCATGAATGCTGAGGTTCTGTTCATTTTGAATGACTGCTTCACGGGAAGAACCATACTGTAACTGATGCTTTAATTGTATATAAAAAAAAGTTAAAATTACTGAATAAAAAGTTTATCTATTTTGTATTTTATTCGATTTTAGAAAAATACAAATATTGTTGCTCATAATTCTTGTAGCAGTAGTGAGCTTTAGTAAAATGACTGCAAATGGACTAAAATGGAAACATGCAGTGTAGGTCAGAGATTTAAACCTGAAATGTTGCATAAAGCACTAAGAACAATTGAAATATTTGACTCCTTTTATAAAATTTTGTGAAGTCAATGAAAGTGTAAGATAGTTTTCTTGCTTCCAGCATCACCATCTACCCAAGGTGGATGTTTTAAAGTTAAAATAGATTAACATGTTTTTTATATGTGACAACAATCTTAGTTCTTCCTCATCTTCTTTAATGCAGTTGTGTTGTGTGCTGATTTTAAAATGTTGACTGATTTGTTGTTTAACTGAACTTTGTCCTTCTGCCTGATCCTCCCAGCAAACATGGAGATTTTTGACTTCAACATCTCAGCCCTCTACATCTCTCACAGGTCAACAAATTTCAGCGGTGAAAAAACCATCTATGAGAGCTGCAAAGATATGCCAGGAGTTCTCATCTGGTATCTCAGTCTGCAGTTCACCAACATGTTCCTGGGCATCCCCACAAACCTCATGGTGCTTTGGCTCATCCACAAGAACAAGGGGGACTCCTCTACCTCAGATATCTTCATAATTCACCTGGCAGTTCTAGATGTGCTGTTCTGTCTTATCCCTCCCCTGGAGCTGGCTTGCATCGTCTTCATCAACTGCAGCAGCATCTGGTACGTCCTGCGCTTCTTCTATGGCATAAAAGACTTCTCGCCTCTCTTTCTGTCTTGCATCTGCCTGGACCGGTACATGGCTGTGATCCACCCCATCACCTTCACCAAGCTCAAGGACCGGCAGCACAGAGCAGCACTGGCTGTTCTGGTTTGGCTTATCATCCTGGCCTATGCTTCGGCTAAATGCGTGGGCAACATTGTGCAGTTTGACAAGGTTTTTACCGTGATGATCCTCACAGCTTTTGTTTTCATGGTGTTTTGCAACATAGCCATTCTCTGTGCGCTGCGGCGGTCTGGGCCTGGCCGAGATGAGATGCATCCGGTGAAGAAGAGAGCCTTCAAGACGGTTCTGATAATCCTGGCCATTATTGTCTTTAACTACTTACCTCCTGTCGCACTGTTCCCATTCAAAGAATACTTCTCTCCCGATGTGTTTCAATGTTATATACACTATGTGGCGTTTGGATTGATGGATTTTAGCAGCACCATCCAGCCACTGCTCTATTTATCCAAGGAAAAGTTGATATGGAAACTCAACTGCTGCAAAGCCGAGACAAACATGACACAAAACAAGTAAGGCATCATATTAATATTTCTCATGCTTTTTTGCGGTGATCAAAAATTTTGATAAATGTGATTTTGTTTCTTTTTCCAGTTCAGACTCACAGGCGGTTTGGAGTATATCGCTGCCATCACAGAATGGAATCATTGTGAAGAACATTACAGGACACCAAAAACTTGCAGAACACACAGAGAGCATGCATCTCTAGACAGTTTACTTGTGCAGAAAAAAACAACAAAAAAAGGGTTGCCCCAGAAATGTAAACAGTTCACTGTACTATTGCAAACATATTGATTCGTAAATGATTGCTTCATATTTTATCGTAGAGACTCCTAGAGTTTGTCTAACTAACAGCCCTTTTGAATTTCCTGAGTTTTTCTTTGGAATTTAACATATAGTTAAAACTCCAACTTTATTCTATAAACCATTATGGTATAATAAAGCATTTAAACTAACTGAAGAAAACAGTTTTACATTTAAATATAACTAATAATCTAGTATAATCCGAAATCATACTCTAAGCTTCTTTTAATTATCACTAAGACAGATTCTGTTTGCTATTTCTTGTGCCAAATCTATAAAAATGAACAAAATGTCTACCATAGACACAATAAATCTGCTTAATGTATTTGATATAGTCAATAATCATCTAAAATATAACCACTCTCAGTTACTGTTTCTAGACTTTGCTGATTTTATAAATTACATTATGTTCAGATTTTGTTTGTCCTTTGTTTATTTTCCTTAAGAAAACTTTTGAAAAAGCAGCCAAAGCCCAAAGAAAAAGCCTCCAAAACTACTGATCAAGAAAATCCTTCTTACTGAAAGAATACAAAAAACTATTACTAAACTTTTTATGAAGCACAATATGCCGTGTCTTAAAGATGTTCAGTGGTTTCTATTGTCTTATTTTTATGAAAATACACAGAAAACTTGAAAAGCATGAAAGAAAACATTTAAAGGTATAGGATGTTCTTTTTCCGGGTGGATCATCAAAATAAGTGCTCTTCATTCTGGTGATATGTTTACGTAAGATTACGAGAGTCTGACATAGTGAAACAATTGCATATCTTCTTTTTGAAAGTAAGCTTGTATGATCGATGCAAACAGCAAATTTAAAACAGAGCGTGCACGAGATGAAATGGGCTCCTGCATGCTCTCGCACAAGTTTAATAGGTGGTCCCTCTCGGGAGCAGGTACAGGGTTGTGCATGTGCATTTTTTTTTTTAAGTGGAGAGGGCAGGTCTTTTCAAATTTTCGCAAAAATCATCCATTAAACCTTTAATGTTCCTTTTTGTTTTAGATCAAATGTAATAAACACCATTGAAAAAACAATTTTATGTTCCTCCTCAGCAAAGCTGCTAACAAAGATGCTGTTGCTAGAACTCAGCTTTTCTGCTGACAGCTTGTTCATAAAGCACATTAGAAAAGCAACAATTAGGCTAGTTGCTTTTTGAAATTACTCAATCTTTTCGTTATGTGTTTGGAAAAATTTGAATTATTTGTTTCAACTTTTTTTAAGACCCAAGGAATCACAAACAGTGATGTGTTGGTGATAAGAATTTTTGTTAGAGCTATGATGTTTGCTTTTGAAATTATTTTTCAAAACACTTATTAAAAGAAGGAAAAAAAAAATCTTGCATATTTGGAGGGAGAGTACTACAACAGAGATCGTGCCAAAGCAGATCACTAAATTAGGTTTTAAAATGGTTAGCTGCTTGATATTTAAGCTGTGATTTTTAATTTCTTGGTTACTGCTTATGTAATATGTTTTGGATGCTAAGAAGAGTTTTTTCTCGGATGCAACATCCAGTTTGATCACTTTTTGCATTACAGAGACCATATGCTCCATCAGCTGGATCAGTGGCACAGTACTTGTCTGTTTTCTCTGCCAGTTAAATGATAAGGATAAATGAATCTTAATGGTTCAAAAGGATCGTTAGATATTTTTTTAATTCAGCTCCCTTTACTTGGATAAATGAAAGCAACCGATGCTTTGTGGGGTCAAGTAATTAGTGATTTTATGTTTAAATTCACTTTAGTTCTTTTTAAAATATTTTAACAGGCAATTTACCTTGAAAATCAGAATGTATAACTGCCAATGATAACCAGCTAAAATCTTGGATATATTCTTTGTGCAAATCTAAAACAAGCTCCATTTGCTAAATGTGCGATAACAGAATGCTAACTTATAATACCAACAAAAAATCTTAGAGTAATGTATTTTTAAATATTTAGTTAAACACAAAGGAAAAAGCACAGAGATGTTGTGCAGTACTGCATGTGCAGAGAGATTAAAAACCATTAGAAATAAAAATTAGTACAAGTACTCGTCGTTCTCCCACTTCATCTGGAAGTTGGTCCTGGGAGCAGCAGTCTCAGTAGACTCCCAGACATCTCCTCTAGCTCTGCTGGGGGAAGCCAGGGGCACTCCAGGGCCAGCCGAGAGTCATAATCCCTCCAACATTTCCTGGGTTGTCCCCTGGGCCTCCTCCCGATGGGACATTCCTGGAACACCTACCGAGGGAGGCATCAAGGGGGCAACAGATAAAGATGTCTGAGCCACCTCAGCTGACTCCTTTGGATGCGGAGGGGAAATGGCTCTTCTCCGATCCTCTCCCAAATGACCAAGCTCCTCACTAAGCCACCCTGCAGAGAAAGCTAATTTCAGCCACTTGTGTCCAGAATCTCGTCCTTTCTGTCGTGATCCAGATTTCCTGACCAAAGGTGAGCGTAGGAACGTAGACTGACCGATAAATGGAGAGCTTTGCTTTTTTGCCCAGCTCTATCTTCACCACGACAGACTAATGCAGCGTCTGCATTATAGCAGCAGCAAACCGATCCGTCTATCAATCAATCTCCTGCTCCATTCTCGCCTCACTCATGAACAGGACCCTAAGATATTTAAACTCGGAGGAATTCACCTCCCACCTGAAGGGGACAGGCCGCATTTTTCCGGTCAAGAACCATGGCCTCAGACTTGGAGGAGCTTATTCTCACCCCGCCGCTTTCCACTCGGCTGTGGGCCTCCACAGTGCATGCTATAGGTCTTGGCAGGGGGGACCCAGCAGAACCACGTCATACATAAAAAGCAGAGATCATGCACCTTTGCAAATGTGGAGACATCCCTGACTCCAGCCATATCAATATAATACCATGTTGTTAGATCAAGGCCATTCCGAATGCCCTGTGAGAGATAATAACTCACCTTTTAGAGTCATCCACTCTCTCTGTATGCTCTCAGTTCATTTTCAAATCTCTGTTATCTACATAATGAGCATGATAATTGTATATCATGACAGAATAACTGTCCTAATTATGATAACTGCTCAAGACATAAGTTTAGACATATAACAGGCAGGTAAAATGAGGGTTTACAGTCATCAGTATAATTAATTCTAACAACCGGACAGCTCGTCCAACATCTCATCCACCAACGATGCCCCGAAGGCTTTTTAACCAACTCTGTAAATTCAGCCTGAGTGATGAACGAAAAGAGCCCCGAGCAACCCATCTCTTGCTCTATTCAGACTTTCCACCGCAGAGGGCATGTCAGCTGGATCAAGGGAGATCTGCAGAGTATTCATTCAACCATCCAAATACGTCCTCTTTCAGCCTCACCAGTTCCTCACTCCCACTGAAAACAGTGATAACAAATCCCTGCTTTCCTGTCTGGAATGGAAACGCCGGACGGTTTGCCAAAATAAAAAGCTGTCTTTCTTGAAAATAAAAATAATAATAAATAAGTTAATAAATAAGTTAATATTTTTTTATTTATTTATGGTTTTCTTAAACTGCTTTACAATTGTTTTACCTGGGAGCAGCTTAAATAGTCACTAGTTTATTAAACGGTCTAACATGGACAAGTTCTGGGTCAGCATTAAGAACTCAACATTGAGTCAATTTAACTATAAGGTACATTTTTAAGTTTGATTGTTTTTCTTGCAGAATATAAAAGTAGATGCTAGGCTGAGATAATCAAGCAATTTTCTCATTATACCTTAAAAATAATCAGAGCAAAGTTTATGGTTTTTAAGACTGGATTGAACCCTGATAACTGCTAACTACTCTTCACAATGTTAACAGATCACATACTGTTCACATTTTTACAAATATTGTTAGAATCTCTTTATGTCTGCAGCCAAAAGTTAGCACTGAAGAGAAGCATTTATTAAAAAATAGAAACTTGAAACAAATTGATGTTTTAATATTGATACAGTATTATACTATAACCTTAAAGGTTTCCTGTTTGTTCCTCTATCCCGGTTGTGGGAATTTGCCACTGGAGATATAAGCAGTTCCCCTGTAGAACTGGTCCTAACACCTGTATTGAACACACAATGCTAAAATAAATTAAAATAAGATACTAATGATAATATTCCCTTGAAGAGAATTAAAATAGAATAAAAATAGATAGTTTCAACTACTTATTTTTATTCTATTTTAATTATGATTTTAAAATTAAGGTGGCGGCTTCAGACGCACTAATATACAATCAGAGTTTTCATTTGCTTCATTTTATATTGAAAAGAAATTGAATTTGTTACAGCTGTGTTATCATCCATCTTTTCTTGCTTATTCCATCAGGGTGGCGTTGGAGCCGGTGTGTCTTTATGGTTGAAAGGCAGGGTACACCCTGAACAGGTTGCCAGTCTGTCGCTGGCTGATTGATCATTTTGACTGAAGTTCGAATTCTGATTTGATCAAAACTGGTTATTGTTATTCTGTATGACAATGTAATATTCCTGAATTATGAATTTACATTGACCTAAGTTTTTTAACAGAAAGTGTGCAAAAACCAGCATGGATGTAGCAACTTATTGAGGTTGTTGAGAACAGCGATGGTTAAAGAATCTTACAGCTTCTGTGAGGAAGGATCTGTGATAACGCTCCCTGGTGCATTTAGGGTGCAGCATCAGTCACCGATGGAGCTCTCCAGTTCTGCAGCAGCTTGTGGGAGACAGTATCCAACAGAGATGTTTATTTACTTAGTCCTTTTGTTTCCCACCTTATGCAATGATACTGGAGGGCATCCAATCACAGAGCTGGCTTTCCTGAGCAACTTATTAAGCCGCTGTCTCTCATAGAAGATGGCTGATGCCACAACAAAGTCAAAGAAGGTCTTTAGGAGCACCTCCTGCACTTCAAAAGACCTCAGTCTCCTCAGCAGGAAGAGTCTGCTCTGACCCTTCTTATAGAAAGCCTCATTGTTGTGAGTCCAGTA